GGTTGTAAGTGTGAAAAACGCTCATTAAGTCACTTTATTGTAACTTCCAGCGGTCACTCGGTGAAGTGTTGCAAGTCGAGGACTCGCCTGTACTGCATACCCTTGCCTAGTTGCGGCAGGCCTGACGGAGGGAGTAAAGAACCGTCATTTTAGAAAAAATTCTTTGTATTTAGGAGGAAATTATGATTATTATAATTTCTTTTTGCTCAGGAGACAGGAAATACTTGCAAGGCCGTCTGTTAAAATCATCCTGTCGGTTCTTAGCTCTCTGCACCCATCAGCTCCCCATCTCCAAAACAGAGAGGAAGTCCCGTGAAGCCCCTCGCCCCAAATCTGTCGGCCCTGCTGAGATCTTCAGTTATCTAGGCTACTCAACCGTTGCTCCAGGAATTCTGGTGCTGAGGGGAGGCCTTCAGTGAGAACAAGCCACCTTCCCCACCGTGGTTCAAACTCAGAGGAAAAATTGGGATAAGTTTCAGGGTGCCCCTTTTAAGGGCGTAGTAGGAGGACCCCTCCGCCTGAACTGAAAATGCCCGTGGTCTGTGGAGAGGGTCTCCACCATCCAGGCTACGGTTGGTTGTCCCAGAGGTTCTTTCTCCAAAAGGCAACTGGATTTTCTTGGGCTTTGATGTGAAACTGTTTCAGAACTGATGAAGCTTCTTCAGAATAACAGAGTTGGAAGGGACCTTAGAGGTCTTCTAGTCCAACCCCCTGCTCAAGGAGGAGATTCTTCACCATTTCTGACAAATGGTAGTCCAATCTCCTCTTGAAGGTCTCAAGTGTTGAAGCTCCCACAACTTCCAAAGGCAACTTCTGTTCCATGGGTTGATTGTTCTCACCGTCAGAAAGTTTCTCCTTATTTCCAGGTTAAATCTCTCCTTGTCCAGTTTCCATCCCTTATTCCTTGTCTGGCCTTCAAAGGTGCTTTAGAAAATAGCTTGACCCCTTCCTCCTTCTCTCTGTGGCAGCCCCTCAAATCTTGGAAGACTGCTCTCCTGTCTCCCCTTGTCCTTCTCTTCCCTAGACTAGCCAGGCCCAGTTCCTGCAACCGTTCGTTGTTTGTTTCAGCCTCCAGTCCCCTCATCATCTCAGTTGCTCTTCTCTGTGCTTTTTCTAGATTTTCAGCATCTATTTTTATATTGTAACCAAAATTGGACGCAGTATTCCCAGTGTGGCCTTACAAAGCAGCAGAAACAAGTTTTTGTCATCTTGGATGGGAAGCAAAACCCAAGAAAGAGGAGTTGCCTTTTGGAAAAAGCACTTTTGGGACATCCTGCAACCTCCTAAACTCCTGGAATCAACCTGGGGCATCATAGGAAATAGGAAGTGTGTGTGTGTGTGTGTGTGTGTGTGTGTGTGTGAGTGTGTGTGTGAGAGAGAGAGAGAGAGAGAGCGAGCATCAGTCCATAGGGCAGTTGGGGAACACATGGATCCAACAAGTTTTATATACTGTTTCTAGACCTTTAATTGGGGACACGGTGGCTCAGGGGCTAAGACGCTAAGCTTGTCGATCAGAAAGGTTGGCAGTTTGGCGGTTCGAATCCCCAGCGCCGCATGATGGAGTGAGCTCCCGTTCCTTGTCCCAGCAGCTTCTGCCAACCTGGCAGTTCGAAAGCACGTAAAAACTTCAAGTAGAAAAATAGGGACCCCTTTGGTGGGAAGGGAACAGCGTTCCGTGCGCCTTCGGTGTTTAGTCATGCCGGCCACATGACCACGGAGATGTCTCCGGACAGCGCTTCCTCTTCTTTGGCTTTGTAACGGAGATGAGCAGCGCCCTCTAGAGCCGGGAACGACTAGCACGGATGTGCAAGGAGGGAAACCTTTTACCTTTAATATTTGATTTATACACCGGCCAGAGGAGATGTCTGCTGCCTTAAATCTATTCTAAATAAAACCTTTTCCCTCCGTTCCGCTGTAGGGTGGCTCTGTCCAGCGCAACCAACCAAGTGTCCTGCAGCAGAAACCTCAGGCTACAAAAACCACCTACGGGACATCTCCATACTGGACGAACTAAGCTCTGGCGTGGAGGATAGGAAGACAACCCGGAGATAGCCCAGGTCCTTCTCAGGCTCCCACCCTCCACCGGAGACCGTCGACTGCGGAGGGAAGAGATTCCCCTCCCTCCCCCCTCCCGCTCTTCCTGGGAGAGCACGGCTCAGACACCCCGTGGGAAGAATTGGCAGCCACTCACCCCCCTCGTCCGTGACTCTTCCCGATTGGCTGTTTTGTGTAAAATATTTATGTATGTATTTGTAAAGGTAGTAGGGCCTAACCGTGGTTCCCGCATGTTTCTGAAGACTCGTTTTTGATTTCTCTTCCCGATCAGGACGGCGTAAGCAAACTGGCTCCCCCTTCGGGCCTTCTGGCAGCTTCTCTCTCTCTCTCTCTTTTTTTTTGTATAGTTTGGAGGATTTTAGCGCTTCTCTGAAGGGCAAGAGTGTGCCACTTTTTAAAATACATGTATATATATATATATATATGTATGTGTATATATATATATATATATATATATTGGACCCCGGAAAGCCTTTTCTGACTTTTAAAATACTACTTCGCTCAGGCAAGCAGTCAGAGACTCGAGAAAAAGAGTAGTTTTTAAATCTTGTTCCCGGTTTCTTTTTTTAAAATATAATTTTGGCGCTCATTCGGCCTCATTCCTGCCAGCCGGAAGGTTGAACGGTTGTGGGCAGCTTAGTTATAAATTGCAGCCTTGCACTTTTCTTGGGGACGATGAAAGAAATAAGCGAAGGGTTATTCAGTCTCCCTTCCCTCCCATCTTCCAGTTTTCGTTTTCGGTAGCCGGTTCTTGGACTGTCCAGCTTCTCCCCAAATGGTGTCTGCCAATCTGTTGAGCTCCCTTTCCTTGGCCAGGGTTTTGACTCCGCCAGGGCGCCCTCCTGCCTTCCACGGTCACGTTCTTCCTCCCCTCTCAAGAGGGGCTCCAAGACTGAAGGGTGCGGGTGCCAGAAAACTCCCCCTCCTCACCTTAATGAAGGTTTCAAAAATTTCATTTATTTTTTAGCCCAGACCCTCGCCTAATAAAAAGTTCTAAGCATATCAACAGCAACGTTTGCCGTCTCTCGTTTTCCCAACCGGATTCGGTGGGTGGTTGGGTAACTGAACTAAGACTCTGCAACGCAGCAGCAGCAGCTCTAAGGAGACCCATGTGCCACTGCCAAAAGGTAGAAGCCAACGTTCTTTTCATAGGGTAGAGGAATGAGTATACGGAGAACAGAAGCCATCTACTTCGTCGAGAGTTGGGTTTTAGTGAGTCTTGGAAGACGTGGGCCTGTTTGGTGGGTCTCCAACAGTTCACGTGGGCATCTTGGTCACTTAGGAAAGGGGGTCAATGCACAGGAATTGATTGCTTGGGAAGACTGAGATTATCAGTCTACCATCGATAAAGGGAACTTTCAGTGTCTCCAGAAATGGTAGGTCATCGCTGGCAATTGAAGAATCTGCTACTACTACTGCTACTTACTACTACTATTGTCGATGTTGGGCAGTGCTGAAGCACTTCAACGTTGAAAGGATTTCAACTGTGACATCACCATGGCCTGGAGGACGCCCAATTGGTGGTGGTGGGCTTCTTTCACGTCCCCATTAAGCTGCCCACTGAAGTGGTACCCACTTATCTACTCGCAGTTGTCCAGTGTCGAACTGCTGGGTTAAGCAGGAGCTGGAGCGAGTGACGGGAGCTCACCCCTGGCAGCAACCGGGTCTCGAACGTGAAGCAACTGATCGTCAACTCAGTGTTGTACCCTGGTGAGCCTTCGCACCCTTCGACTTAAGAACCACAGGATCGGTTCTGGGGCTCGGCATGGGGCGGGAAGCTTTTGGTTATCCAAAAGTCACATTTTGCTCATGCTGCTACAACAACGGACAGAGGGAAGTAAGCTACAGGTCAGGTCTCCCCAACAAATCCACCCCCATTCAAATCAAAAATTTCTAGCCGCATCTCTCAAGAGTAAAAAAAAAATTGATTTATTGGGAGTGGCCACGTTGACGTTAGCTGGGTGCATCCAACACTAAAATACAGCATTTCACCCTTGACCCTGGTCTTCCCCCCCCCACGCCCCCTGGATGTATATTCTCCAATCAGAGATTAGAGATTTTTTTTTCAAATCAGAAAGATGTAAACGCAGACCAAAAGGTAGAAGAGAGAGAGAACCAGAGTTGGGGATGATGGCTCAAGGTAACAGTTGTCCGCCAATCTCTTCAATCCGCATTTTCAGCAAAACCAGTAGGATCCTGAAAAGGGGAAACCAACAAGTGGCTAGGCCAGAGAGGAACGTCCGTTGGCCGGAGGGGAGGAGACGCAGCCCTGGCCGACTGGCTGCGGGATAGGACGGGACGGGAAGTTCCCCAGACCCTCTAAAAATGTAGCCCAAGGGAAGGACAGAGTAACGCATCTCGCACACCGCCAAGCTTCAGCATACAAGTCACTGGAGAGAATACAATACAAGGAAAGACAGCTGAAAAGACGCGGCATCCTCAGTTCGAGCCAAGCTAAGGACGCCGATGCTGGACCCAGTACGGACAGATACCCCGCCACCTCAAGAACCCCATTCAAGGGCTGACATTTGGGGTGCCTGTTGCAACCGCTCCTGTTCTCCACTCCGGCAGATTTTTCAGAGTTTTTAACGAGTTCCTCTCGCAGGAGGGAAGGAAAGATAATAAGATTGTCCAAATTTGTTCGTTCCGTCCACCCTCGTCGTTTCTTCTTATCCGTTTGGTTTTTCCCCCCCCCAAACTGGGGTTCTTCTGAACAGACCTCCTTGTCCAATAGGGAGACAACCCATCCACAGTTACCCCTTCTTTCCACCAGGGGACCAGAAGACAAAATCGAAGGGCTCAGCATTCAAGGAACCACCTTTGTTCGGAAATGCCGTCCAACCCAAGAAGACCCAACGGCAGCTCTGGGTCAATGTGGGTCCCAGTGGGCCCTTCCCAGCTGGGATCCCGAGGCCCCCAAGGGCCAGGCTCAGAAACAGGGTGCGTGGAAGGCAAAGCCACCGTTTTGAAGAAGCGAAATTTCTCGATGGGCACCTGGGATCATCCCAGCGGTCTCGCTTTTCCTGCAATTTGATGCATGGGGGAAAGGAAGAGGGGTTTTAATACAAGGGGTGGGGAACCCTAGAAACACTCATCGGATCTTGGTTGATTTCCCTTGAGACCGTCACGGAGCCTCCTCAAAGCACTTCGATCCTCTTTTGGGGAACCCTTCACCTGGACAGTTGGTGCTGATGGAATTGCCAAGAAGCTATCGCTCCGACGGCATCGGGTTTCTGCCCAAAAAGGAATACAAGCAATGCACCCCAAAGACTCCCCCCGCCGGCTCCCCGTTTTCTAATGGCTCTCCGGGAATTTTCAACCTGCGATCCTTGTTTCCTTTTCGACAAGTCTTTTATTTATTTTTTCCGCCCTCCACCATTGGTGTGGTCTGAGACAGGGCTCTGTCCAAGCTTGGCATCTTGAAGACTTGTGGACTTCAACTCCCAGAATCCCTCAGCCAGCTAATTCTGGGAGTTGGAAGTCCACAAGCCTTCAAAGTTACCAAGCTTGGAGAGAGCCTCGGTTTAAAGCAATATTTCGGGGCAACCGCTCTTTTCTCTCTCCAGCCCCAGGACTGCACGCTTCTTCCGAAGAAAAGACCCGTCCGCGGCAAGGCGTCATTTGCAAACCTCCGGATGCAGAAAGCCGCTGGGTTTCCCGGAGAGAAGCCACATTCCAGATCCCATCCGTTTTTGATGACACTGCTCTCTGCAAACGGGGAGAAAGGGCAGCCGTTCTCCAGATGCAACCACTGCAACTCGGGACAGAAAACGGAGCGCGTTTCGACGTGTTTATTGGAAGATTCATATCACAAGAAAACCGCTTCTCCCACTCGGACGATTTCTTACCCCCCCCCTCCCCCTTCGATCTGCCTCGGAGGTTTTTGTCCCTCCTCGCCAAGCTGCTAATCCCACCCCACCCGCCTCCCTTATCCCGACCGTGAGCTTAGCAAACTTGAAACTGGAACAGCGGGGCCTTTTCTCGGCACCAGGTCCGGCGGCGGCCCAGTTCAAAAAAAAACAAACCAAAACACCACAGAAGCTTTTCACCCTCCGCCTTGGGGGGGGGGGAAAGAAAAAAAAAATAACAACAAAAAAAAAAGGAGAAAAAACCACCACCGGCACCAACCACCACAAGGCTAAACAAGTGCGCACACGAGGAGAGCAGCGAAGAAGGCCCCAGAAAGAAAGGAGGGGGGGGTCTCCACGCAGGCCAGTGGGGGAAGAGTGTCGTTTTCCTCTCCCCCTTCCATGGTCTCCGGCCGGCCGTTAAAATACATCGAAACCTCTTGATGAAAGACTGGGTTTAATTCGAGAACCTAAACACAGAGCGAGCCTGTTTTGTTGTACTGTGAACTCTCCAGAAGAGGGGCAGGAAGGGAGGGGGCGGTGGGGTGGGGGAGAGGCGGGGGGGGGGGGGGGGGGTATTGTCTTTTTTTAAAAACAAAAAAAGGAGGGGGAGAGGAAGGAGGGAAATCAAAAACACAGTGATGGGACGGGAAAAGGAAGTGCGATCCAAGATCATCTGCGCAGGTCTTTCTCGCTACGAGGCCAAAAAAGGACCAGAAAAGTGTGATGGAGTGGGGGGGGGCGCAGGTGGGGGGGGGGGAGGACTGACGGAATCGAGAATCCGTCCGAGGAGAAAAGCAGAAATGCAACGTTTTGGTTGGGGGTCTTTTTCGCCCCACCCGCCTGCCCCTTTTGTAGGTATATCTCTCTTTTTTTCTTTTTTCTTTTTTGCTGAACGGTCCTTGGCGTTACCGCTGCGTCCCCCTCTGGCAAAACTGGCGGGGCGGTATGATTGGGAGGCTGGGCGGGTGTGGAAGGGAGGGAAGGAGGGCCAGAAGGGGACAGGTCACGACTCCTCGTTGCCAGAATCATCGTCGTCGTAACAATCGGCGTCTTCCTCTTCCTCCTCCTCCTCGTCTTCGTCATCGATGTCGTCGTCGTACAGGTCGTCGTAAAGCAAGTCGGAGCTGTTGTCGTTGGAAGGCACTTTAGTTTTGATGCAGTACTCGGCCAGCGTGGTGGGCACCTTCACACCGTCCTTCTCCGCCTCTGCCTTGGTGGCCTGCACTTGTTTCCTGCAAAGGGGGGGTGGAGGGCAGGGGAAGTTAGCGGGGTTGAGGTCAGCCTCTGCTCTGACCTGAGGCTTCCTTAGAAAGCATAAAACAACAATGTTAAATCCCGGCAAAACCTCTTTTATTTCCCTGGCTGTGAATTACGTTCATTCCCAGCCTGCAAGTCTTCGCCAACAGTCTTTCAGGGGGATGTTTATAAACACCCGCCTTATCGCACTTGGAATGCGGCCAGAGAACGAACGGCCAAACGCAGGGCAAGGCCAAACTTGACGCAGAGTCAAACAGAACGTTTCAAAGCTTGAACTGACCAGACGAACAAATTGCTTCCTGCAAAAGCTCACATCCCATTTGCTCCTCTTTTATGTTCCATGGGAGGGGCCAATCATCTCCCAGGTGTGGCCTTACTCCTGAGTCGACCCTGCTTTCTCAATTGTTCTTGTCGTCCTCTAGCTCTGCACATGCACAGGCTAGGAACTGGTTCCAGAAGCTTCCCCGCCTCACTGCTGTCTGAACCTGAAGGCAGTGATTCACTTAACCTGCAGTGATTCACTTAACAGCGGAGGCAAGAGAGGTTGTAAAATGGGGCTGATCTCACTTGGCAACATAAACCTGGGGCTCCCTTGTGGTCGTAAATTGAGGGCTACCTGTAATAATACAGGCTCGAGAGAGCTGGTCCTCCCTGGCTCTGCCTGGCAGCCTTTAGTGCCCCTGGATCAGGAGAGCTGAACTCTTAAGAGGGCATGGCTAGCGTCGTGGCCACGACGCGTCCCTTGGGAGCTCTGGAGGAGGATAGCACCGAATCCAACCTGCCGGGATGGTCCATTTGGACCGAAATCGCCTCAAAGGGGCAATGAACAAAGAGAGCTCACTATGCTGATCTCAGGGATCCCCGCAAACTCCCTGATCGACTCAGAGAAGAAGCAGCTTAGGATTTCTTCTCTGCCCCTGAGATATACATGTTCCTCTAGAATGAGGGTATCAAACTGCGTTTCGCCGAGGGCCGGATCAGCATTATAGTTCTGCTCCGTGGCCCGGCGGGGAAGAACAGGCAACGAGGGGAGGAAGACAGGACAGACACCTGCAGCACCATTCCGGCCAAAATGGGGTACACCAAGGCCCCGCGAAGTCCTGTGCAGCCCATTTTCAGCCTCCATGGCCTCCTGAATCACTCTGCTGGACAAAAACGGACCGCTCCGGGGCATCGCGAGGCCCAGTTTTGACTGGCAGAGTGCTGCTGGAGGCAGAAAATGGGCTGTGCAATGACCGCACGGCCCCCAACCCTGCGGCCCATTTTGCCTGGCAGAGGCGCCGCAGGCCAGTCCTTTGGTATTTCCGGGCCGGCCCCACGGGCCAGAGTTAAGCACTTCGTGGGCCAGATGTGCCCCGCCCCTCCACTCTACACCATTTGTAGCTCAGGGTTGGACTGTGGGATCCTCGATGCTCTCTGAGCTTGGTGGTTTTCTTGCAGACGCTTCATGGCCCAAGTAGGTGACGTCATCAGTGCTTAGAGTGGAAATTAGGGAAAAGAGGAAGAGGAGGGGAGTGAGAAGCGCAGGAAGAGGACGACAAGTGTGGGGTTCTTGGTAGTTTTCCGGCAGACGTTTCATGACCCAAGTGGGTAACATCACCAGTGCTAGAAGCAATAGGGTTTGTGGAAGAGGAGGACGAAGGCCTTGGGGGCCCTTGGTGTTCTCTGAGCTTCGTTTTTTTTCCTGCAGACATTTCGTGACCCAACTAGGGAACATCATCAGTGGTAGAAGTTGCCCACCTTTTTAGCACTGATGATGTTAGCTAGTTGGGGTCATGAAATGTCTGCAAGGAAACCACCAAAGCTCAGAGAGCACCAAGGACCCCTCAATCCTCCCTCCTCCTCCTCCTCCTTTCCCTTCTAGCATTGATGACGCTCCCTAGTTAAGTCATGAAACGTCTGCAGAAAACCAACCGAGCTCAGAGAGCACCAAGGACTCCATAGTTCTCTTCCCCCTGCCCTGCCGTTCACACCACCACTCCCTTCTAGCGCTGAAGTTGTTATTTAGTTAAAAGTCATGAAATGTCTGCAAGGAAACGGCCCAGCTCAGAGAACCCCCAAGTGTCACTGCGTCAAACCGGCTCCCCTTCTCCACCAGTTGCTCCCATCGTGGACTTACCGGATGATTTCCGCATATTCTTTGTCTTTCCCTTTGCTGTCTCTCCATTTCCTGAACATAACGGAGGCGTCCACGTTTGCCGGAGAGAATGTGTTGGGCTCATTAAGCAAGGAGATTACGCTCAGTAGGATAGTCCTGGGAAAAGAGAGGAGGAGGAGGAGGAGGAGAAACTGAACTCAGAGCTAAGCACCCATAAACAGAATAAACAGAGTGGGAAAGGACCTTGGAGGTCCTCTAGCCCAACCCGCTTCTTCTATACCAACGATTATCCAATCTATTCTTTAAAAACTCCCAGTGTTGGAGCATTTACAACTTCTGGAGGCAAGTTGTTCCACTGATTAAATTGTTCCAACTGTCAGGAAATTTCTCCTTAGTTCGGGTTGCTTTTCTCCTTGATGAATTTCCACCCATTCGTTGCTTCTTGTCCTGCCTTCAAGGGTTTTGGAGAATAGATTGACCCCCTTCCTCTTCTTTGGGGCAGCCCCTGAGAGATTGTAAGACTGCTATCCTGTCTCCCCTACTCCTTCGTTTCATTAAACTAAAGGTAAAGATTCCCCTGGAACATCCGTCTTAGTTGTTCCTGGCTCTAGGGGGCGCTGCTCATCTCCGTTACAAAGCCAAAGAAGAGCCAGCGCTGTCCAAAGACGTCTCCGTGGTCATGTGGCTGGCAGGACTCAACGCCTTCGAAGGCGCACGGAGCGCTGTTCCCTTCCCACCAAAAGGGGTCCCTGTTTTTCTACTTGCATTTATTTATGTGCTTTTGAACTGCTAGGTTGGGACAAGGACCAGGAGCTCACTCCGTTACGCTCGAGATTCGAACTGCCGAACCGCCAACCTTTCTGATCGACAAGCTCCGCCTCTTAGCCCCGGAGCCACCGCGTTCCCCCATTAAAGGCCTAGAAACAGTATATAAATCTCGTTGGGTCCATGTGTTCCCCAACTGCCCTGTGGACTGATGCTCTCTCTCACACCCACGATGCCTTCCTGTGACGTCCCAGGAGGTTAGGCACTTTGCGGGATGTCCGAAAGCCACCGAGCCGCTGCATTCCCGCTTCATGAAACTCGACATACCCAATTCCTACAACTGGTTCTTTGTATGCTTTATCCTCCAGTCCCCTCATCCTCTTGGTTGCTCTTCTCTGCCCTCTTTCCAGAGTCTCAACTAACCTCTTTGTTGAGGTCCAGAGTCTCAACTAACCTCATGGCGACCAAAACTGGATGCAGTACTCCAGGTGTGGCCTTACCAAGGCCTTATTTTTCAGACTGGCAGGTTAGGGGCTGCAGGTAGGAAGGGGCGGGCCTCCCTGGGCTCTACAGGTAGTCCTCCACTTACAGAAGTTCGTTTGGTGACCGTTCAAAGTTACAACAGCCCTGAAGAAAGTGACTTGGGACCCTTTTCTGCACTTACATTGTTCACACTTACAACCATTGTACCCTCTCCATGGCCATGGGATCAAACTTTGGGTGCTTGGCAACTGATTCACATTTACGACAGTTGCGCTGTCCTGGGGGGGTGTCATGTGATCCCTTTTTGCGACCATCGGACAAGCAAGGTCAATGGGGGGGAAAAGTTAAATTCACTTAACGTCTGTGTCAACTAACTTAACAAATACAGTGATTTACTTGACAAGCGCGGCCAGAAACGCTGTACATTGGGGAAAATTCACTTCACAACGGCCTCGCTTAGTAGATTGGAGATTGGGGCTAAATTGTGGTCGTATGTCGAGGATTTTCTGTACTACAGTTGGGCGGAAAGTGGATTCTTGGTCTCGGGGAAGGCCTCACCTGACATTCTGGGTGGGGTTCCACCTTTCCGACGGCAGTTCTCCACTTTGAGGATCATCTACAGGTGGGTGAAGAATTGAAATACATACATCCCCATTCTATGGAAAGAAATTTTGATTAATTAGATTGTTATATTGATAAAGAGTGTTATTACTATCTCACCTATTGAAACATTAACGAATTGTTTGTTAAGATAATTTAAGAGAATTATTATTTAATAGAAGTGCTGGGTTAGATGTTGCCGTCTTTGTCGTTTTCAAGGTTGATGTTATGGCGCTTGTCATATTTCTTAAGCTTCTATTCACTTCTGCCCATCCACTTTATATTTTATTTGAAGAATTAGTTTAGGTTAGTCTCTTTTTCTTTTCTTTCTTTTTACTAATTTCTCTACTTATTTCTGTTTTATAACTTATTCCACTCTCTCAGGTTTTCCTTGTTTTAAATACTTAAAACCTTTCAAATTTACTATATCTCTACCAATCACAAAGCATACACTCATTGCCAGTATTTACCTGTCAGCCAAGCTTTTTCTCACTGTTCTTGTCTTATTTATACAATATATTGCGTTAATTCCTTTTGATCTGTATGCTGAACGTTCTTAATTAATTCTATTCATTCTATTCTCTTTCTAGGGTACAATAAGCAATCAAATCAGATAGATAGATAGATAGATAGATAGATAGAAAGAAATAGAACAGAACAGAACAGAACAGAATAGAATAGAATAGAATAGAATAGAATAGAATAGAATAGAATAG